AAAAAGCCAAGAAATAACAAATGTTGGTAAGGATGTAGAGAAAAACGAAACTCTTAAACACTGTAAGTGGGATGTAAATTTGTACAGCCATTAGGGAAAACAGTATTAGAGGGTTCTAAAAAAAAAAAAAAAGAAAAGAAAAGAAATACCATATAATTCAGCAATCTTACTACTGGCTATATTATCCAAAGGAAAGGAAATTAGCACATCAAGGGGATACTACACCCCCATGTTTATTCTATCACTATTCACAATAGCCAAGAAATAGAATCAACATAAGTGTCTATCAACAGATGAATGAATAAAGAAAATGTGGCATATATACACAATAGAGTACTCTTCAGTCCCTCAAACGAATAAAATCCTGTTATTTGCAGCAGGATGGATGGAACTAGAGGTTTTTATGTTAAGTAAAATAAGCCAGGCACAAAAGACAAACACCACATGTTTCCATGCATGTAGGAGCTAAAAAAGTTAATCTCATGGAAGTAAAGAAGGGAATGATAGTTACCAGAGGCTGGGAAGCAAGGAGAGGGAGGGAAAAAGAGAGGTTTGTTAATGGGCACAAAAATACAGATAGAAAGAGTAAGTTGTAGTGTTCAATAGCACATCAGGGTGACTACAGCTAATGGTAATATATTTTATATTTCAAATTAGCTAGAAGAGAAGATTTTAAATGTTCTCACCAGAAAGAAATAAAACATGTTCAAGGTGATGGATACCCTAAATACCTTGGTTTGATGACTATGCATTCTATGCATGTATCAAAATATCATGTGCAACCCATAAGTATGTAAAATTATCATGTATCAATAAAAACATAAAAATATGGATGTTTTGGGGTACATTAAAATAAATATTCATATTAAGAAAGAAAAAACTAAAGTGAAAAGAGAAATAACCAATGGTACCTGAGATGGTTCCTGTGCTTACTATTCAGGCAAAATACTCCAAAACTTGTCAGATACATGATCATATGAGCTCTTGTACATCATCTACAAAATTTCCAATTTTTCTGTTCATTTAGAGAGCAAGCTTTGATTAAGTCTGCTGACTTTGTTTTTTTTTTTTTTTTTTTTTTTTGAGTTGGAGTCTCACTCGGTCACCCAGACTGGAGTGCAGTGGCCACTCCCAGCCACCGCAGCCTTGCCTGCTGGGCTCCAGCAATCCTTCCGCCTCAGCCTTCCGAGTAGCCGGAATTACAGGCATGCACTACCACGCCCGGCTGATTTTTTGATTTATTGTAGAAATGAGGTCTCGCTGCCCAGGCGGGTCTCGAACCCACGGGCTCAGGCAATCCACACACCTCAGCCTCCCAAAGGCGCGGGATTACAGGCTGAGCCACCGAGCCCGGCAAGTCTGCTGACTTTGTAAAGTCACAGGGTAACTTACAACAGCCTTATTTCAGCACCACCCATGTACATCCCAACTTCTCAAACCTGCATCGGACCAGCTTTGACATTCTGCCAGTACTCCTATTTATGAGTTAAATAAAATTCTGACATATACTCCGTTAAACACTCATACTTTGAGAAGTTAGTGGCAGACAATAAGCCTCTTTAATACACCAATAGGTAAATCAACAAGCAACAAATTTTGGCTGGGGGAAGAGAGCTGTTATGGACTGAATGTTTGTGTCCACCTAACCCATAATGTGATGGTATTTGGAGGTGGGACCGCTGGGATGTAAACAGATTTAGATGACATCATGGGTATGAAATGATGGGATGGATATATATCCTCTTAAGAGGAAAGCAGCCAGAGCTCTTTTTCTGCCATGTGAGGACACAGCAAGAATGGTGGCTGCCTGCAGATCAGGATGAGGATCCTCATCCGGAACCAAAGGCTTTAGCCCCTTATGCTTGGAATTTCCAGCCTCAGAGTGTGAGAAATAAACATCTGTTGTTTAAGTCACTTGGTCTATGGTATTCTGTCATACTAGAGCAACATGACTAAGAAGAGTGTTTGCCACCTTCAGAAACTGAGGCAGGGGCACCGACCATATATCTAAAATCAGAGACCTTATGTCAGTGAAAACTCTTTAGACCAGCTCTAACTCTCTATGTGGGTATTTTTTTTTTAGAGAAGGTAGCATGTAGGGGTAAGTGGAAAGCAGTGAATGAGGAAGAATTCCACAATCCGAATGAACCTGCTTCTTTGCAGAGAACGGGACAAAGTCAACAACAACAACCATGAACAAAAAAGACAATCTGCTAATCTTTTGACATAGGATACTGTATAATTCTACTTACATGAAGCTCTAGAGTAGGCAAAAATTAATGCATATTGAACAAAATCAGAAGAGCTGTTGCCTCTGATGAATGTGGGGGCAGGAAATGACTGGAAAGGGGCAGAAGGAAACTTCTGGGATGAGAATAATTGTTCTATGTTGTCACGGGGGTTCAGATTACACAGGCATATGCATACACCAAAGCTCACTGAAAGGTACACTTAAGGTATTTTGTGCAGTGTATTTGTGCAGTGTGAATCCCACCCATAAAAAATATGAGAATATTAATTCTTCTTTTTTTTGTTGTTGTTTTGAGTCAGGTCTCACTTTGCCACGCCGGCCGGAATGCAGTGGCATGATCATGGCTCACCGCAGCCTCCTGGGCTCAGGTGATCCTTTCATCTCAGCCTCCCAAGTAGCTGGGACCACAGGCACATGCCACCACTCTCAACTAATTTTTTAAAATGTTTTTGTAGAGATGAGGTCTTGCTTGTTGCCTAGACTGGTCTTGAACTCCTGGACTCAAGCAATCCTCCCGCTTTGGTTTCTCAAAGTGCTGGGACTATAGGCAACAGCCAACATGCCCAACCTAGAATATTAATTATTTATATGCATGCCGAAATGTTTATGAGCAAAGGATAATAATGTCTGTAATGCTAAAAAGCATCAAAAGTGAAATGGACTTGTAGATGGCGAGAGTAGTACACAAGTGGGTAATAAGTGATAAAGAATATAGACTGTCCAGGCTCAGTGGCTTAGCCTGTAATCCCAGCACTTTGGGAGGCCGAGGTGAGTGGATTGCCTGAGCCTGTGGGTTTGAGACCAGCCTGGGCAACTTGGTGAGACCTCGTCTCTACAATAAATCAAAAATTAGTCAGGCGTGGTAGCACATGCCTGTAGTTCCGGCTACTTGGAAGGCTGAGGCAAAAGGATCCCTGGAGTCCAACAGGTCGACACTGGGATGGTTGTGAGCATGCCAATGCACTCCAGCCTGGACGACAGAATGAGACTCCAACTAAAACAAAAAAAGAATACATATCACAGCTGGGTACAGTAGCCCATGCCTGTCATCCTAGCACTTTGGGAGGCTGATACAAGAGTACTGCCTGAGCCCACAGGTTCCAGACCATCTTGAGCAACACAGGGCAACCTCATCTTTACAATAAATAAAAAAAATTAGCTGGGCATGGTGGCACGTGCCTGTAGATACAGCTACTTGAAAGGCTGAAGCAGAAGGATCGCCTGAGTCCAGCAGATCGAGGCTGCAGTGACTGTGAGAGTGCCACTGCCCTTCAGCCTGGGCAACAGAGTGAGACTCTGACTCAAAAATAAAACAAAACAAAACAAAACAAAAGAGGTGGTAGGTCAGCAGATGTTCATTTAGTAAGCCTTTCAACTTTTTAATATACTCCAGTTCAACATTTTCTTCATAATAAAATGCAGGAAATTAAGTATCATAGGATATAAACTCAAAATATACATGTCATGGAAAAAGGAGTTAAATGACAGTTGAAGTTATCCAAAAAGCTTAGGAACCAAAATTAATATGAAACAAAACAGATTATAACTTAATAATCATTACTGGATTTTATAGGTAAAATATGGTGACCAGAATTTGCTTAAAAATAATACAGGAGTGGGAGAGGAGGGTGACATTACAGGGGAAACAAGATTCCCCATGAACCAACAAGATTATTGTTGTTGGGCTGGGAGTAGTGGCTCACACCTGTAATCCCAGCACTTTGGGAGGTGGAGGCGAGAGGAAAGCCTGAGTCCAGGGGTTCAGGACCATCCTGGGCAACTTGGCAAGATCTCGTCTTTACAATAAATCAATAAAACATTAGCCGGGTGTGGTGGCACAAGCCTGTAGTTCCAGCAGTTTGGAAGATTGAGGCAGAAGGATTGCCTGAGCCCAGAAGGTTGAGACTGTGGTAGCCACGAGTGTGCCAATGCACACCAGCCTGGGCGACACAGTGAGATGCCGACCAAAAAAAAAACAAACAAAAAAAAACCAAAAAGAAAAAAACAAAACTGGTGACCTCAGAAACAGACAACAAGACAGAGAAAACTACAAATTTATAATCATCATAAGCACAGAAATTAACACCAATTTTCAGCAGAAATCTCCTGTGATCCCACTGTGGAAGTAAGGGAGGTCAGAAAAAAAGTGTGAAAAGAGGGGAACAAAGGGCCTAGAGTTGAACTAAAATTGCTCCAAGAAAGTAAGTCCACCCTAAAGTCGTCATCGTCATCATCATCATCATCATCATCACCACATGTGTAGTCTTGATAAACCAAAGCAAGGACTACAGGGACTCAGAGGGGTGCACGATCTGGAGAACAGCCCACTCAAGCAGAGTGCCTGGGGGAAGAAGGGAGCAGGAAGGAAGAGGTGACCTCCAGAACAGTGGTACTGCTTCAGACACCAAATGAGAAGAGGGAGAGAGGATAGACCCAGAGAACTGGGAAGGTAAGTAGGAAGAGCTGGATGTATAAGGAAGGGGTGATGAACTCAGGTTCACGAGTTGGGCAGTCACAAAGAAAATCACAAACTGAGTGAGGAAGCAACTGAGCTGAATGGGGGGAGGGAGGTTTCCAGGGATCCCAGGAAGGCCCCTCACTCGGGCAGACAAAGGTGTGGAGGGGAGGCAGAGCCAGGGTCTCAAGAGCAGCCAAGGAAGCAGAATAGCCTCCTCCACAGCCTCAGCAAAGCTGCCTTCCTCCTGGAGGGCTGAGTGGCTTATGTGGTCTGCCCTGTTCTTCCCCTCACCTGCACAATGGCCCAGTGGTTGTCTTTTCTTGTCTTCCCAGGGCTCCTCCCTTGCTCTAGCAGCCTGATGAATTCTGGTTTAGAATGGGCAATTTCTGCTTACAGGGAAAAACAATGCAATGACTCTTAGTTGTAGGCTCTAGGGGCCATTTGCTGAAGACACGTGGGGTGTGAAGGGAGGGGCTCTCAGAGCAGAAAGATAGCAGGATGACCCCATCTCCCATGCTCGGAGTGCCACCCGCCAGGAAGAGAGCCCTAGCATGGGGAAAGAGGCCTGCATATGCACAGTGACAGCCAGTAGACAGCTCTCTTGGAACCAGACCCTCCCCACGGGAACAGAGAAAACATCCTTGTTTCTGAGTTAACCTGAGGCAAAATCAGAGGTACTCTGGGCAAGAGCCAGGCCTGAGAGAAGCCACACTTACCTACTGAGACCAAGTGGCTGTAGTTCTCCAGCATGACCTCCCTGTACAGGGTCCTCTGGGCAGGGTTAAGCAACCTCCACTCCTTCTGGGTGAAATCCACAATCACATCCCCAAATGTCATGAAAGTCTGTAACACAAAACCCAGGCCTGCTCACCAGGAGGCAGAAGAGTCCGGCCTCTGCCACCCAGATCTTCTGTTCCAACACCCCCGTCTGTGCCCGACCCCAGCATTTAGAACCTGTTCTCCAAAGTTCTAGGCAGATCTGGATAGGGCTCCCCCCCTCCAAAAAAAAATAGAGTTCTAATCTGTGTGGGGTTTAACAAAGACAAAGAGAAGAGGAAAACTCAAAAACTACACTACAGTGTTTCCTAAGAACATATGAAGAGTAAACAAAAACACTAAAGTTTAATGGTACCCTGGGCCATGTCCTGAATTGGACATTCCATGGAATTTATAAACGTGGAAGACACAGTTTTCACTGATGTCCTGATCAAATGAAAGCTGATCATTCTGAATCTGCCCTGGAGGTTCTCTTTCACACTAGTCTTGAATTCAGATGGAGACTAGATCTGATTTCTGCCAAATGTTTAACACTGGACTTGTTTATAGGACAGTAAAGGTATAAGTGAATTAGCCAATGGAACTCTGATGAAAAGGGCAGTACCTCTGTACTGCAACTAGGAATGTGCTGCCTGGCATCTCTGCAGGTACTTGATGAACTTTAATTCTGTTCAGTGAAGCTCATCATCTACTAGACTCACAGACCAGAAAGCCTCTCCTTTGACCTTGAACAGTCAATCCCTATTGCCCCCAGCACTAATTTGTCACTTCACACCTCTTGCTAAGACCCTCAAAACCCAGGTGGCTTAAAGACTCAGTCAGCCTCTTCAGGCTGGCATCCAGGTTCTGTCCACACATGCCTCAAAGGCGGCCAGCTCAGAGCTTCCAGAACAGGCAGGCCGAGGCTGACCACACTTCTGCCTCCTCTCCAGTTCCTGGACTTGCCATGTCTCTCGGGGCTGCCAGGGAGCCCCCACCTCCTGGATACCTCTGTGACTTATCTCACTGCCCTACCTTCACTGACTCCAGCTCAACCAGCACCAGACACTTCATAGGACATCCATGTCTTTTGCTGTAATTGCTCCCTGTGTGTTGTGCACAGTTCACTACTCAGTGGGTGATGTGCACACAGGTCAGTCACCCACGGGAAGGACACAAGAAAGATCACTTGCCCAAGACTTGTACTTGTCTGTGTCCTATACAATCAATGTGGCCACCAGGACCAGTGAAGGGAATGGGTTCACCTGTGACAGCAGAGAGAAAATTCCGAGGAAGTCTCACCTCTCTCCTGGTCATGACCATCTTCCTGCTTTCTGCAGAGAAGGGAAACCCGCAGATGGTGGCTGATCTGTGGGAAAAGAAGAGCAGTCAGAGGGTGCCTAGATGCAGCTGCCCTCCCGACATGCCAAACAGGCCCATCTCCAATACCAGCTGGGAGCTGTGAGAGCGCCAGCACCAACCTCCTCTGGGCACCTGACCAGAAGGTCTAGGGGGCCGGGCTCCCTGCAACTCAGCCCCAAGATCTGGGAGTGAGGCATAGGAGTGAGGCCCCTGTGCCCCAGGAGCTGGGTGAGACTGGTTGCTCACATTGCTGATGAACTAAAAGGAGCACTGGCAGGTCAAGTCCTAGGTTTAAGGTTGGGGCTCGGAGCGGCTGGCAGAAGATCAGGCTGTGGTGTGATGCCTCACCATAGATCCCCTGTTCTGTGCGACAATGGCCACCTCTACCCTCACATACCCCAGGGTAGGGGAACTGAGACTGGGGGCCCAGTTGAGACCTAGGAATAAAGCAGGCTGTAAAGCACACACGTTTCTTTCCTGCTCCTATCAGTTTCTGACCCCACGAACGGCCCCACTTCAGATGCTGATTGCAAGCCCCAGGTTGTGACTTAGATTTCTTCCCAATCAGCTATAAACTAGGTCCCACAATCCCTCCTTGGGTTCGAGTTTGACAGGACAGCTCACAAAATGCAGGGCAGCATTTTACTTACGTTTATCAGTTGATGATAGAGGATGCTACAAAGGACACAGATGAATAGCCAGACGTGAGGCAGAGCTTCCACTTCCTCCTGAGTCTGTGGCTCTGCCCTCAGATCTCTGCACTTCCATGTGCTCAGTGACCAGAAAGCTCAACCAATCTTGCTGTTCAAGAATTTTTATAGAACTTAATCTCTGGCCCCTCCCCCACCCGGCCCAGAGGAAGGTGAGAAGGGCCAGGAGTTTCATCCCTAAAGTAACTTGGTTTTTCTGGTGATCAGCCGACCCCAAGTCATCCTATTAGCACTAAAGCCAGGGAGGCTCTAATGTGGCTCTTTATGAATGACAAAAGACACTACCATCGCTTAGGAAGTCCCAGGGGTTTTAGGAGCTCTGTGGCAGAAACTGCGAACAAAGGGGATATAAATTTCATATTTTATCGCAAGCAGTAATACCACAAAGTGCTCATTTAAAAAATACTCCAAGTATTCTTATGACACAACAAATATTAATGGCTCTTTAGTAAAATACAGAAAAATATAAGGGTGAGAATAGAGTGAAACTTGAAGGAACAAAGACCATATCATGTGGTGATCATGAAAACAGCTTACTTCCACTAGCCAGCAACACTATGAATCATAAACTTTGAGCTATGACGTTATACGTCAGAGCAAGTAGTTGAGGAAGAAAAGAAGAAAAACAGTAAGGTTTCCTATCGTCTGTATGGGAAGTTGTGAGACACTTTAAAAAATTTAGTTTTGTTAGGATTTCTGTAAGTATACATGCATATAGTTAGTCCCCAACATACGAACAAGCTCTGTTCTGAGGGTATATCTGGAAGTCCAGTTTGTTTTAAGTCCAACAAAGTCAACTAACACAATCAGCTACATAGTACTGTAAGTATTTAACAGGCTGTACTTGTGGAGGAAGATGAGGCCCCATTAGGCCAGCACCAATTAGGTATATTAAGGAATGAAATCTCAGGACAGATTTGACAAATGTTACAAAGAAACTTAATGACAATAGCAAGGAGCTGTAAAAGCTAATAAGCCAGTTGTAAAACATCTACTGCTAGCTCCCAGTAAACAAAAAGCAGTTAGCCATTAACTGCTAGTTGCACAGTAAACAAGAAACAGTTAACTACTGCTGTTAACTAACCCTATCTTTTTTTTTTGAGTTGGAGTCCCACTCTGTCACCCAGACTGGAGTGCAGTGGCCGCTCCCAGCCACCGCAGCCTCGACCTGCTGGGCTCCGGCGATCCTTCCGCCTCAGCCTTCTAAGTAGCTGGAATTATAGGCACGCGCTACCATGCCTGGCTGACTTTTTTTTATTTATTGTAGAAATGAGGTCTCGCTGCCCAGGTGGGTCTCGAACCCGCGGACTCAGGCAATCCACTCACCTCAGCCTCCCAAAGGCGCGGGATTACAGGCTGAGCACCGAGCCCAGCTAACTCACTCTATCTTAAACAAAACACCCTCCTCAATCAGCCACTTCACAAACCTCTGGAAATTTCCTTTTGCAAGTCCTCTGGATAGTTTTCTGGCCCACTGGACTCGCAACACCTCATAGATGATTCTATTTAGTCTCTGCCTCTTTGCAGACATTCTTTCTGTGGTTTGGCCACTGTGCTCTTCCCAATGTATCTTCCCTTTAATAAATCTACCTTTTTTTTTTTGATTCCGACTACTTGGAAGGCTGAGGCGGACGGATACCCTGAATCCAGCAAATTGAGGCCGTGCCACTGTACTCCAGCCTGGGCGGCAGAGTGAGACTCCAACTCAAAAAAAAAAAAAAGATTCATAACTTTATGGTTCCTATGTAGGGGACTTACTCTAAGTAGTTCACATACTTTCATGTCCCATCTGTGCTTTCTTTACCTATTCCAAAGTCACAAAGATATTAGTCTTAGAATTTTAAGTATTTTATGCTTTGATGCAAGTGTATTTATTTTATCTTTCTTTTAATTGCTTGTTTCTAGGTTACAGAAATACAAGAGCTTTTTAGAAACACTTACCTTGTCTTGTACTCATAAATACACTGATGAGTTCTAGTTGTTTAACCGCAGAATCTTCCATGTACACATTCATGTCCTCTGTGAATAAAAAAGTTTTACTTTTCCAACTTTGTGCCTTTTATCCTTTTTCTTGTCCTACCAGATTGGCTAGCTATTCTAGGATAATGCTGAATGGGAGTGATAAGAACCAGCATTAATGCTTGTTCTTCATCTTAATGAAAAAGCATTTCATTACATACAGTGATCACTGTACGGTTGTCACATATAACCTTTGTTATCTTAAGGAAAATTATTTCTATTTCTCATTTGTTAAAAATTTTTATCCTGAAAGGGATGAAATTTTATCAAATATTTTTCTGTAAGTGAATTTTTTCTCATTACTCCATTAAAGTGGTGAATTAAAGTAACTTTTGGAGGCTGGGTGTGGCTCATGTCTGTACTCCAGTACTTTGGGAGGTCAATGTAAGAGGACTGTCTGACCCCAGGAGTTTGGTAAGACCAGCTTGGGCAACATGGTGAGACCTCATCTCTACAATAAAAAAAAAAATTAATTGGGCAAGGCGGTACATGCGTGTAGTCCCAGCTACTCAGGAGGCTGGGGTGGAAGGATTGCCTGAGCCCAGCAGGTCGAGGCTGTAGTAGCCATGATTGTGCCACTGTATTCCAGCCTGGGTGACAGGGGTGAAACTCCAACACACACACACACACACACACACACACACACACACACACACACACACACACGCAAAAGTGCCTTTTGGAAATGAAACCTATCCTACTTTTGTGGAATAAACTCTACATGCTCAGAATATATCCTTTTCATATATTGCAGGACTCTCTTCATTAATATTTGGTGAGGATTTGTGACTGTTTGCATTTGGAGTGATGCTTATGTGCAAGGACATGAGAGACCTTTCTAGAGATAGTCTACATATTGACTGAGGTGAGAAGTAACATGAGTGTACACATTTGCCAAAATTCATTAAGGTGTACAGTGAAAAGCTGTGCTTCTTCTAACATGCAAACTATACCTCAATAAAATCAATTAAAAATCCTCCTTAGAACTCAAGTATTTATGGACAAAATAAGATGTCTGGGATTTGATTTAAAATACTCTGGCATGGCCGGGCTCGGTGGCTCAGTCTAATCCCAGCACTTTGGGAGGCCGAGGCAAGTGGATTGCCTGAGCCTACGGGTTTGAGACCCACCTGAGCAACTTGGCGAGACCGCGTCTCTACACTACATCAAAAATTAGCCGGGCGTGGTAGCGCACGCCTGTAGTTCCGGCTACTTGGAAGGCTGAGGTGGAAGGATCGCCGGAGCCCAGCGCGTCGAGACTGCGGTGGCCGAAAGTGTGCCACTGCCCTCCAGTCTGGGCAACGGAGTGGAACTCCAACTCAAAAAAAAAAAAAAATAAATACTCTGGCATAAAAATAAAATAAAATACACTTTCACATAAAAAGGGAGAGAGGATAAATCTAACAAGACAGCCATAGTTTTAAAATTGTATAAGTCAGATGAGGATAAATTGAGGTTTCTTATACTATGCTCTCAATTCTGCTATACATTTGAAATTTTTTCCTAAGACTACCTTACCAGAAAAAGCATTCATCATGTTACTAATTCTGCACTTAACCCAAAAAAATGGCTAAAATAATCTTACAGAAACTAAACTCACTGAAAAACAAAGAGCTCCAGCAACCAAGGAACGGCCCACTCAAGAAACAGTCACATGCAGAATAACAGAAAACATCATAGCGTTTTTTGCCCATCATCTCCTCTCCACTCTCCCTGTGGAGGCATGGTCTCCCTCTCTGTGGCTCTCTCTCTTGGACAGCAGTGGACGGAGGAGAATGCATCTTATTCTCAATGTGTGAACCTGTCTGGGAACTGCCTAGGAGAGGAATCTCATGAAAAGGAGGGAGACATTGAAAAGGAGGGAGGCATTGCTTGGGGCAAAAGATTACAGATGCTGAGCACAATAGACCTTGCAAAGCGCATCTCAGCTTCCAATTCCCTTCTCCAAACCCAAGAAAGCAACTTAGACCTTATTTACAAGGTGTGACCTGTCAGAGGCTGCCTGAATGACTGCTCTTGGTTTTGGCTATTTCGGAAGACAGAAAAAAGCACTGGATCCCACTTGGAAAAGACGCAGGTAGTCTGAAGAGCAGACACCAGGCACAAGATATTATGGGTGGAGACACACAACAGACCATCAAAACCCAGAAGAGAGACCTTTTGGGGGTTACAAATATATAAAAGCAGCTGAATACATGAAAAAAAATGGAAAAAGCCACACACAGACCCAGGCAGGTTGCATGCTCCAAAAAGGCCTGAGAAAACCTGAAACTTACTCTTTGGAGGGATGCCAAGGCTCAGCACCAAGGCCAAGCTACTTAAGGAACAACTTTCTTGACAAAGAGACAGTCTTGCAAAGGCTGGAAGAGGAAAACGTTTTATTCAAATGCCTAATTTCTAGCAGCAACAACAACAAAATCACAAGGAACAAAAAGAAACAGGAAAACATGGCATATTAAAATGAAAAAAATTAAGTGGCAGAAATCTTCCTTGAGAAAACACAAGCATCTGACACACTGAACAAAAACTTTTGAACTGTCTTAAATATGCTCAAAATGTGCCAGGAGCAGTGGCTCACGCTCCTGGCACATTTGAGAGGCTGAGGCAAGAGAACTGCCTGAGTTCAGGAGTTCGAGACCAGCCTGGGCAACTTGGCGAGACCTTGTCTCTACAATAAGTGAAAAAATTAGCTGGGTGTGATTCCAGCTACCTGGGAGACTGAGGCAGAAGGATCGCCTGAGCCCAGTAGGTCGAGGCTGCGGTGGCCGTGAGCATGCCACTGCACTCCAGCCTGGGTGACAGAGTGAGACTCTGACTCAAAAAAAAAAAAAAAATGCTCAAAAGGTCAAGTAGAAATGGAGAGAGAACTGAAGGAAATCAGGAACATTATATATGAACAAAATCAGAATATCAACAAAGACACAGGAAATATAAAAAGGAACCAAACAAAAACCCTGGGCCTGGCTGGGCTTAGTGACTCAGTCTGTAATCCCAGCACTTTGTCTGAGTCAGTGGGTTTGAGACCAGCCTGGGCAACTTGGTAAGACCTTGTCGCTACAACAAATAAAAAATTAGCCAGGCGTGGTAGTGTGTGCCTATAGTTCCAGTTACTTGGAAGGATCGCTGGAGCCCAGCAGGTCAAAGCTGGGGTAGCCTTGAGTGTGCCACTGCACTCCAGCCTGGGCAAAGGAGTGAGACTGCAACTCAAAAAAAAAAAAAAATCAAAAAACAAACAAACAAAAAACCTGGGCCTGAAAAACATGGTAAGTGAATTGAAAAAATTCACTACAGAATTAATGGCAGGAAGCAGGCAGAAAGAAAAAACATTGAACATGAAGATAGGACATTTAAAATTACTAAGACAGAGAAGCAGAACAAAAAAAGAGAAGGAAAGTTACCAGAGCCAAGACAGTTGTAGAGCACCATTAACTGGACCCATATAAACATTGTGGGTGTCCAGAAGAAGACAGTAACATGCAGATAGAATGTTCAAAGAAATAATAGCCAAAAGTTTAAAATCTGAAGAAAGACATTAATCTACAAACCTAACACACACAACAAAAACAAAAAATTTTACATTCAAAGAGGTCTAAACCAAAACACCACACTTCCCAACCATGCTTCCGGAATACAGGACTGGCAAGGAGAGAGATTAAGAACAGCATCGGTCTGTCGCTTGCAGGAAAATCTATCACCACCGACTGAGAAATTGGAAATGGGAGCACTGTCTTGTTATTTCCACCCCACCACCCAAGTAGAGTTTTGGTCACAGTGAACCCATGTAGCAGGGATGGTACTCTGTGATGCAAACATCACACACTCTCACTGTTTTCACAGACTTAGTTGATTCTTCTGAAAAAAGAGTTCTCTAAATTGCTAGGTGGTCTTAACACAACTTCCATAAAGTGTAAGGGCTGTTGTGTTTTGCTTTAAATAACTGACCAGTTGTGGTGCTTTGCTAGTGAGAGTCCACGTGGCTCCTCACACTGTCATTTCAGGATTCACATTCCTGATTATAATATGAGTAGAATTAGGGCCAGGCAACCAGGTGAGTGGTATACTCAATATTTGTCCTTATGAGCAGAGCTGCAAAGGCAGCGGAAAGTAGAATATAGAGAGGAGTCTCGCAGGTATGAGATGAAATTGGAGGGAAAAGGTATAGCAGAGACAGAATCGACAAGACTCAGTACCTACTCAAGTAGATGGGAAGTTTGCCAAAGTATGGAAACTACAGGAGGCAGAAGTGAAAGGGGGGGTAGGGGATGGGGGAGTGTACTGCTGTGCTGAATTCTTGGTGTTTCTCCTCATGCTTCTGATCTTAATAAGCCGAGTATGGAAACTGAACAGTGAGGAGACATTTTTGAGACCCAGAAAATTTCCACATGGACTGGGGTAAAGGATGAAATTAACAAACCACTAATTGTGTTGAGTGTGATAATGGTACTGTGGCTATGTTAAAAGGCAAAAGAAGAGCCATACAAATAGAGAGGGATGCCACAGTAAAGATAAAATGACATCGTGGATTCACTTTAAGACATCCTGTAAAGCTGGAAAGTAGAAAGTGTGGGGTAGGGATGGAGGTTGGTTAAATGAGAACAGCAAAGTATTATCATATATGAAGGGAATTGAGATTAATTATATATTACTATTCAAATATTTTTCATTATATATTTGAAAAAACTGAATATCCAAGATAATTAAGAGAAGGAGACTAGAGAAAACTGATTTTCAGGGTGTGAAGAACACTGCAAACTGGTTGATCTGACTCATACCATCTGTGGGAGTTGATAGCATGTAAGAACAGAAAACTGAGAACCAGAAAAAAGTAGTTAAAATAGTTAGCAATAAATTAGATATGAACATGAGGCAAACTTGAGACATATATTTCCTTCACTTATATTTCATTAAAATTTTGAAAGATAAAAATAACTCCATTCTTGGGGCGATGAAAAATATTCATATATTGATCTGATGACTAAGACTCAACTATATAAACTTGTCAAAATTCTTCAAACTCTGACTTAAAAATAAGCGAATTTTACTATGTCTAAATTATACCTCAAAAAAACTAATAATTACTAGAATGGTCAAAATTTCAGCTTGTTCCACAGCCTGATCCACTTGATCCCAAACATGGTGCATAAGGTAAAAACTATTTCAACTCATTAACTCACTAACTTTTAACTTGCACGTGGGTCAAGGGAATGAAGACAGACAAGTGCTGAAAATGCGAATTGGATCATTTTTTTCCGTTAAGACCTGGCCACACCGGAAACACAGATGCCTGAATATAGACCCGAGAGGACTGAGGGGTAAGGATGGAAGGGTACTGAATGAGGGACTTCGATTTCGGGACTGTTCCCCATGAAGGGAAGCAGCTGAAGCTCAGAGCCCCAGAGGGAAGGGGCAGGGCACGAGATGTCAGACACAAGCAAGGGGAACCCACCATGGTTGGGAGCAAAGACGGAAGCAGCAAGGTCTCGAGAGAGGTTCCCACCTGAGGACTATCCTCCCTTTCCCCTGCAGACAATCCTTCCAGGTTTTTTTTTTTGAGGTGGGGTCTCACTCTGTGGCCCAGACTGGCATGCACTAGCAGAACGTGGCTCACCAGTCTTGACATCCTGGGCTCAGGTGATCCTCCTGCCTCAGCCTCCCGAGTAGCTGGGTCTACAGGCATGCGCCACCTTGCCCAGTTGATTGTTTGATTTACTGTAGAGACCAGGTCTCACTAAGTTGCTCTGGCTGGTCTCGAACTTTTGGGCTCAGGTGATCCTCCTGCCTAGGCCTCCCCAAGTGCTGAGATGACAGGAACGCACCACCAGCCCAGTGACAGTCCTTTCTTGGGTAAGCACGGGACTGGAGAAGCAGAGCTAGGGACCAAATAGGGTGTGAGCATCAGAGACAGCCTTGGAAATTCCCAGGTCCAGAGTAGAGCCTCGTTTTGTTTAAAAAAAAAAAAAAAAAAAAGGATCACGAGTCCTGCAGAGAAGAAAATAACCTGGGAACAGAGCCTGCGTGGGCATCTCAACCCAGCCCACCTGATGCAACCTGACGCTGAGTACACGGGACTCACCGGCCACTTGCTATTTCTCAAAGCGACACAGCCAGGAAGCGATAGAGGCGGGTTTCAAGCCTGGCCAAGGGCCCCCTGCGTAGCCAACAGGTAGGCCGGGACAAGCCTCAGTGAAGGCCACACGTGGGCGGGCGGGGCCTGGGGTCGAACTGGACTAGGTGCGAGGGTGGGCTGGGTCACACCAGTGTCGCTCCCCTTCAGGTCCCACTACAATGTTTCCGTAATAACAGCAGCAAGACCCGTTACCGGAGGGTCGGCCCACAGTCCCACAGTTGTCTTCGGGGCGCCACTCCCACCCCAACATCCAAGGGAGCCGGCGCGCGGACCCCGGGAAGCCGCCCGAGTCCCAAAGCCTCCGGCCTCCCTCCCGCGGACGTCCGCGCGGTGGGCACAGCCGCGGGAAGCCGAGTCGGGCCCTGC